ATAGTACTTTATCTTTTGAAAAGCATGTGAATAATATTACTCAGTCTGCGTATCTCTATTCAAGGAACATCAGCCGCCTTCGTCCATTTCTCAAACCAAATTCCACAGCTATTCTTTTACATGCTCTAGTTACCTCGCGCATTGATTATTGTAAATCTCTCCTCTTTGGGCTACCTTACAAACTTCAATTGGTCCAAAATTCAGCTGCCCGTATAATTACTAGAACCTCCTCCATCGAGCATATCACTCCAGTTCTCTACCATCTTCACTGGCTTCCTGTTAAATATCGAGTAGAGTACAAGATTCTACTTCTCACTTTTAAAGCTCTTCATAATTTTGCACCACCATATCTCTCTGATTTGCTTCATATTTACATCCCGAAGCGTACTCTCAGATCTTCTTCATCTGTTTCCCTTGTTGCACCTTCTGTTTGTTTAGCTACTATGGGGTCTAGGGCATTTAGTTGTGTTGCTCCTAATCTCTGGAATTCTCTTCCACAATCTATACGAGAAAGTGACTGTCTGCCTACTTTTAAATCATGTCTTAAAACTTACTTGTTTAAATGAGCTTTCTCTGATCAATTTTAAATTATTTTATGTTAAAACTTACTTGTTTAAATTAGCTTTCTCTGATTAATTTCAAATTATTTAACGTCAATAGTTGTTGTATTGTTGTTTTGATTTTATGATTATCACTCCACTGTACGGTGTCCTTGAGTGCTTTGAAAGGCGCCTTTAAATAAAATGTATTATTATTATTATTATTTATTATATAATCAGACTACTTTTGGATTAATTTTGACCTAACTCATTTATCACATTGATTTAAATAGGATAATCTTATACAGGGTATATACAGGAATCGTGGAGTTAAATTTAATACCTTTTAAGACCTCATCGCCACTCCAAGTTTTAACCGGTTACATTGGCGAAACTTTAACTTACATTTACTATATATTGATTGTAAGATAGCACAACTAAACAGACTTACTTTGTGATAACTCCTTATCAATACAACATAATTCAGAAGGGGGAAACGAAGCACAAAATATAAATAAAGCTCTCCGAGCTAACGGGACAATGAGTTCACAAGGTATATTAAAAAGATGTATTTGTCACATCAACTCTTATAACTGTCTGCAAACCATAGCTGTTTTGTGGAGCACTTCTCATGACGAACACCTGACTGATCAGACGGTTTACCTGTGATTACGGAGTGCTTGATTTGATGCACACTTGACAGAGTGTCAGTACTGCACCTGATCGTGTCTGAATGATCATGGAAGGTCAAATAATGATCACAACTATTACATCAGTTTAATTAAGCATCCCAAGCCCATGCCAGTAAAAAAAAAAACTGACCAAAGTAGCGCAATTACCTTGTCCCAAATATAAAGATGTCATTTCCATCCCTAAAATACATATTTTACAGTCACTGATATGCACATTTATCATAAACACAGCTCAAATGCTTCCTACTAGTGTGGCCCAAAACATTCAAACATTTAACCCACTGGGGAAAATCAACCCATGGCAAGTTTAAAAGCAGCCCAATTTCGTGGAAAAAAACAACAACAACAACCCTGCATCCAACACGAGCTGCAGAAGTCAGATTTTGACTGATCACGGGGTCAAAAGTAAGGAGAGACAACTGACAAGGTGTTGGAGAATTTGCTTCTCAACAGATCCCGAGCTCATTGACAAATATCTTTTATCGTTTACACAGTGCGCGCGCGATCGCGAAATCGAAAGTGAAAGTGAACTGCGACTGCGAGTGCTCATTGAAAAGGGATTTAAATATCCCACATATTGAAAGCTGCACCCTGATAAATTATATACAATATTAGAATGTTTGCGGGAGCGGACACAGAAATCGCGGGAGCGGATGGGAGCGTGCGGTAATGGTCAGCAGTTCAGCGAGAGCGGGATCAATAAGCCCCGCGCTATCAGCAGCGGCGCAGTCAGTCAGTGAGCGCCGTAACACATGATGTCAAATCTTGCGGGATTCCTTAAATAAACTACACAGAACCCCACTATTCGACAAATATACATCATGAAAAGATGATACAAAATTGAATACCTTGGAAAATGGCATTAATACTTTTTAATACTTTTTAAGGGCCTTAATTTTCTCTAAATTGATTTATCAACTTTTAATACTTTTTAAGACGCCGCGGACACCCTGTTATACCATATTGATATAAAAATACAAAATGAAAGAAAATATATTCCGTTCGTTATTAACAACATGAAGTGCATTAAACATTACATCAAGATTTACCAAACTGCAGGGGGTTCGTAAGTAACAAAAAGTAACAAAAGTAATGTAGTCTGATTACGAGTATTTAAATTTACATTTATATGTAATCAGTCACTACCCAGCACTGTCCATCAGTCACTGCATCACTGGCTGCAGGAGCTCACGCTGAGAGAAAACTAGCAGCATCTAGCACATAAATCTACATCAGCATCAGTGCTGGAAAGAGCTGCTCAGCTTTATAGGACAACTACAGCTCTGCCAACTAGGGCTGTGCAAAAATTCAAATGCGCATCTCATCAGTAAAGCCGCTCCTGTGATTAGTAGTAAATCTCCAGCACGTGCTTTCAGATGGAGCGGCATTTACTACACAGAGCTGTAGCATTCGATTTTTTGCACAGCCCTACTGCCAACACTACTAGTATCAGCATATAATTACTCAACTAAATCTAATCACTGAATAATCCATTAAAGGGATTGTTCGCCTAAACATGCTCATTCTGTCACCTTTGACCCCTCACATGTGTGTGTGTGTGTGTGTGTGCTCCACTCACTTTTCTTCCCCATGTGACCCCAGCCCGTGATGTGGCAGTACTGGTCAGCTTTGGGCAGCTGTCCGCGGCCAGGCAGACAGACAGGACGCACGTAACTGGTCACCTCCACCTTGGTCTCCAGCTCCAGCACGCTGATGTCGTAGTCCACCACGGCCCGGTTGTAGCGCGAGTGGACGATGATGCTTTTGACATGCCGCGATTGCATGTATGGAGATGGATGATCCAGATTATTGATGCCAAGAACCACTTTCCACACGTCTGTGCTCTCACGCCTGCACACGCATAAAACACATCAATCTAACATGACTTACACTGACTAGTCAAGCCACATTTATCTCTATAGCACTTTATACAATACAGACTGATTCAAAGCCGCTTCACAGTGATAAACAGGAAAATAACAGTGTTAATACTGCACAGCTTTCAGCTGTAAAGCAGTTCTCATTATTCAGATCAATTTAGTTCAGTGTTGAATCAATTAAACTGAATGTTGGGTAGAAAACCATGCAAGTGTGAGTGTGTGAGTGTGTGTGTGTGTGTGTGTGTGTGTGTGCGTGAGTGAG